ATATAAAATTAATAAAAAAAAGAATAATATATAAAACAAACTAACAAATAAATGTTGTTATTATTATTATTATTATGTATTGAAATTATGGTGCCATAAAAAAATAATAGTACATAAAAAATGCATTAAATTAATATTACACATTATACTTTAAAAATAAATAATAAATTTTATTTGTATTTACTTTTAGTAGCAGTGTTATTATTGTTGTTGGTATTCAAATATAAACAAAAATAAAGAAATTTGTTAGCACGTGTTAATGTGTACTTTATATATTTGATATATGCGGATATTTAATAATGATTAATAATTAGCTCAATGTGGTGCAAACCTCAAAAAATAAAATAAAATGTAAATAAATAAATAAATAAATACATAAATATAATAATAATTATTAGTATTTAAAAAAAAGATAACTGTTTGTTATATATTTATTTTCATATTTACATATTATATATTTGACATGCAAGTATAATGCTGCTAAGCAAACTTGGCAAACAATGACAATGATGAGACTCACAAGACAGGAAACCAGACGTCACAGTTACGTGGTGCCAAACCTGAGGCTTTAACACGCGCGCGCGCACACACACACACACACACACAGAGAAGGGATGGTCTATTCAATAGTGTGTGTCTCCTGTGCCACACGCATGGGCTCTTTTCATATTAAAATGCACAAGCTGCTGCTAACCTCTCAGCCTTGCGAGTGCTTTATCGCTTCAACAAAAGCCACAATCTATCTGTCTTTTTTCCAATTTTCCCTGCTTATTTATTTCGTGCTCCTCTTGTTAAAAATGCATCGGGCCCCTCGCATGCTCGATTAAGTCGTCTCCTCCCCCTGTCTCATGCTAAACTCTAATATTGTTACGCTGCATGTAAATAGCTAGCAGGGTAATTTGCCGTGCCAAGCAGGCACCCCTCTGCCACACGCACACACATAGAACAGAGACCCTGTGATCACTAGAGCCAAATCATGTGCCTTAGTCACACTCACACACACACGAGGAGCACCAGGTGAGCACTTGATCGCGTCCAGCTTTAGATGAAGTGGCTGTGTCGCTAATGGGAAAGCCTGACTTAATGAACGAGAGCGGGAGAGGACAGGAGACACTGGAGCTCAAAACATCTGGAGCCGCTCCTGTCCGGAGCACAACCAGTTGTCTATCCAGAGAGAGGCGGGACGAGAAGAGGAAGAGAAGAGAGAGTGGGAGCCATGGGACAGAGAGAGAGAGAGAGAGAGAGAGAGAGAGAGAGACTGGAAATAAGGTCAAGAGAATTAAATGGTGGTGGTGGGATCAGTATAGTTTATGAAGAGGCTCAATGACATACGCAATTATTAATTGTTTAAAACTACATACACACCTCTTATATGATATACATTTTCAATTCAACTTCTGAATTAAAATTAATTTAGCAATTTTTTTGTGGGGCAAAATAAAGTATTGTGGGTCAGTAATAAAGGTGGCGCAATAAAGTCTCATTAAAAGACAGAAATTAATTATTTAATTATTCAGTAAATGCTTTGTTTAAAAGCATAAATAAACATAAATGTAAAAATAATATAAAATAAAAATACATTATAAAATGAATAAGAAATGATGCAACTTTGTTTATTTGTTTAGGATATTATTTTTATTTAAATACCTTTGAACACTGAATCAGTGTCATTTTAATTTCATTGAAATTACTTTTTTTTCATTTTTTTTTCCATTTTAACTGTAGTTAAAGTGTTAGTAATTTTGTTGGGTTATTTGTGGTGTTGCCATTGTTATTGTTTTTTTTATGTCTACATAGTTTTAAAAAAATGTAATTTTTTAGTTTTAGTTGTAAAATTTTTAGTTTTAGTTATTTTAGTATATAACGTTAAAATAAATGAAAATTAGGAAGTTTGTTGTGGCAACTATATGAAATCTTAATAAACAGTATGTTCCGGTAATGTTAATAAGTTTTTATATTTTATTTAAAAAATGATTTTTTTATGGTTTTAGGTTTAAAAAATTATAATAACTCTATACACTAAATAAAAGTTAGTGTGACATAACCAACATGCACAAAGCCATTTCGTAGTCATGTGTCAAGAACACCATAAAACTAACGAAATATTACAGAAAAAGTATGTCAAGGTCAGTAAGCCTCCTAAAAATTATGAGACGGCAAGGTTAGTTCATGTTGTCAAATGTAACAATCCCAAGACAATTTCAGAATATATGTTTTGTTAGAAAGTTATTTCATGAAAATTATTTTCTAAAAACTTTGTTTCAGATTGTAATTAATTCTAACTTAATGACAAAAAACTATTAAAAGAAAAAAACAACAACTTGAAAATGAAAACCCTGAAACAGAAAATCTGAAAAAATGTGTAGAACTTTAAGTTAATATGCTTACACTTTCTTATATATTGAAGAGAGTAAAATTATTATTATTTTTTTTTACACAATTTGACATTTATAATAGAAATGAAATTTTAGGAATGTTCATAAAAGTTGGAAACCAAAATGAAAACAGATGTTTTTGCTTGATCGCGTCATATTCGTCATTGATCCAAGAACAGAGGAAGGATGGATTTAAACGAAGGAACATGAGCAAGAGAGAGCGAGTGATGTAAAAACTGCGGGAACATAACTCATGAGCAGTAAAGCTGGACGGCTGAAGTCAGGGAGGCTCATGAGTCGTTAATGAAATGACATTAAAAGTCTGATCTCATCCCTGATCTCAGCGAAAAACTGCTAACGGCACACAAAAATAACATCCCTCTCTCACAGTAAAGCAGTAGCAGTAAACACACACACACACACACACAGAGCACGGTCCCATAAAAATACACTTGTCTTAGTTTGAACGAAAGAGATGGGGAGGAAGAGAGTTAGACGACAGGAAGCTGCCTTCTCTCTTTCCCATGTGAAACTTACGACTGATGGACACTGCAGTTGTAGAAGACAAAATCCACGCTGGCAAACTTCTTCCCCGTCTCCTTGGATTTCAGATAGAGCTTCACCACTCGCTTGTCACCTGCCAGCAGACACACGGTGAGCTTCAGCACTTTCTAACAAGCGTTAGGAGGCTTTTAAAGGAGTGTGCGCGTGTCGCCTTACCCTGGTTGCGCGTGATGGGAGCGATCTCCCGTGCAGAGGGGGACAGGCAGTATATACGTCCCCCCATGATGTGTCCCTCCATCTCAGTGTAGTCCTCAAATGAGCAGTTAACACCCGGAGCCAGACTGGGAACATTCTGAGCCAGAAGAACCAGCTGCAGAACCGAACACAGACCAGGAGACAGGAACAGGTTTCACTTGCAGTACTTTATTGGCATGACAAACACTGAATATTTGTACAAAAGACACCTGGACTTTCATATCCAGAATGAATATTTTTAACCGTGTAGCATCTACATCACATTTCCTATGAGGCTCTTATTGATGAAAATTAGAAGAGAAGAAAATGGGACAAAAAATGTTTTAAACAGAGAAATTTTGAGATTTCAAATACAGTCCATGCATTGAAAATCTATCTATCTATCTATCTATCTGTCTATCTATCTATCTATCTATCTATCTATCTATCTATCTATCTATCTATCTATCTATCTATCTATAGTTCTATCTCTCTCAAAAAAAGTTTGCATGTGTTAATCTGTACATTATATATTTGACATATGAAAGTCTAACGATAACGGTAATAAAAAGACAGGGAATTAAATGTCACAATTATAAATTTATATATTAAAAAATAAATGCAAAATAAATAACGATATATATAAAACAAACAAACAAATAAATGTTATTATTATTATTATTATTCAACATTATTTAGATATTGGAATTATGGTGTCATAAAAAATGACAGTAATTCAAAAATACATCAAATTAATATTACAAATTATAGTACAATCCATGCATTGAAAATAATGATAAATTGATAAATAATTTATCAATATTGCTATTCATGTCGATAAATACTTTTTTCTTTTAAATATTTTTGTTAAAAAATAAAGCATATAATAATAATTATTATTAATATTAATAAAATAGTTGAGCAAATCGCAAGTGCAATGAGTCTGTTGTCTTTATGATGTAAAAGCAGAATAAGAAAAGCAATTATCATTTAATGACACAGTAATACATAATTATTTGCGACATAATATTACTTATGTCACTGAATATGCAAAACAAAAATGCATTTACATTTATACTGTCATTAAATGTGGTCAAAATCTGCCTCAAACCACCTCCCAACATGTTTTCAATTATCCTAATCATAATCTGATTACAATAAAAGCCATTTCATTCACAAACACTTGCCTGAACTTCAGACATGGTGACTGAAATATTGTTGGGCTGCACCATGAGTCGGACGCACTGCTCCAGTCTGGAGGCGAAGCGCTGCGGCTCATCAGCTCGCTCACAGCGGTCCTTACGTGAACATCTAAACACAAATATTACTCAGCAGGGGGGACAAAACCATTATAATCAATTTCTAAGAACAATCAACCAGTGCGATCAAGTGCATACTTTATTAGTAAGCTGATTTGGAATAACACTGTGATGAATAAAACTTCAGTAGTGTTCAAACAAAACAACAAAACAAAATGCTGCATTAGATTAATAATAACAAAAAGTAATGAATAAATTAATTAATTTACTTAAGTACATACTTCAGTACGCAATTTTGGATGTTGCTGTGGTTTCTCTTTTCCATACTGGTCCAAGTAATATTATGTTCTGCTTGGCTGTTATTGTCTCATAGCTAAGCATTTTTCAGACAGATACACTGTCGCTGGAAACTTGTTACATAACGCCCTAGTGTCAGCATAGCAATTAGCCTTATTAAACAATAGTCTACAGTATGTCCCGATTCATATAGCCGTGTAAACGCGTGTGTACGTGTGTGTGAGCAGCTGTGGGGTCAGGAGGTGCTGATACTCACACACTGTGCAGGACACACCAGCCGCAGTGGGGATCACCAGAAGCCAGACACTCGCTACAGCTGCTGTACTGCTCACAGCTCTCCACCGGCACCCGGCTCACCTACACACACACCACGCTCAGAATTAGTCAACTAAATCTCACTAGTTCTTATTTCAGTATGGATTTTTATCTCCAACTGCAGTTAGAAAATATTTCACACCAATAAAAACAATTTTCCACTCAGTATTTGTTAGCTGTGAGCTATTAGCTTAGCAACATGCTAACGCCAGTGTCTGACTGGAATCAGCTCCAAATGTCCTGTGAGAAAAGTTTAAGTTAGGCTCATATGACTCATCTGTTGCAAATTGTTATATATATATACAGTATATCACAGAAAATTTGTCAACCTCCATTTTTAAAAACAGTACAAAAAGGAAAGAACTTGACAATACCTGTTGAAAAAACCAGCATATGCTGGTTAGGTATGTTTTGACGCTGGGATGCTGGTTTAAGCTGGTCCTTTGCTGGTTTATGCTGGTCCAGCATAAACCAGCAAAGGACCAGCTTAAACCAGCATCCCAGCGTCAAAACATACCTAACCAGCATATGCTGGTTAGGTATGTTTTGACGCTGGGATGCTGGTTTAAGCTGGTCCTTTGCTGGTTTAAGCTGGTCCTTTGCTGGTTTATGCTGGACCAGCATAAACCAGCTAAAGGACCAGCAAAGGACCAGCATAAACCAGCAAAGGACCAGCATAAACCAGCACATGACCAGCATAAACCAGCAAAAGGACCAGCATAAACTAGCAAAGGACCAGCATAAACCAGCAAAGGACCAGCTTAAACCAGCAAAGGACCAGCTTAAACCAGCAAAGGACCAGCTTAAACCAGCAAAGGACCAGCTTAAACCAGCAAAGGACCAGCTTAAACCAGCAAAGGACCAGCTTAAACCAGCATCCCAGCGTCAAAACATACCTAACCAGCATATGCTGTTTTTTCAACAGGGATGGAAGCAAATGGTGTTGGCATCTAGCATTTAAGTTTTCATTCACACGTTTTTATTTTTATTTTACACTCATGTATTTTGCAGACACTTTTATCCAAAGCGTAATATTTCAAGGTATACATTTTCTCATTCCCTGGGATCGAATGCACAAGTACACCATTGCTAGCGCCATACGACAAGATGGAAATATAGATAATGATCAACCTGCTTGATGCTTTCAGAGTGCTATGTGAAATCTGAGCACTGCGGTGCAAAACAGAGGTTGCCACATTCACCATCACTGTCAGCAGTTCAACAAACACACAGTTACTCATTCACACAGACACCTTGCATACTACATATTACAAACGTCCAACAGAGAGAACAGCTGACTGAAACACGCTGAAAAATATTGCCAGCCACCTACACATGTCTACTTTCATATAGTTTCATTCAGAAATCATAATGTTTGACTGGCATTCGATCGGCTCTCTGGAGACTGAATGGCTCCGTTCCAAACCTAGACAGCTGCCTACAACATTTATAGGCAGGAAAGATGTGTACACTGACCTTACTTTATATATATATATATAGAGAGAGAGAGAGAGAGAGAGAGAGAGATTTTTTTATTTTTAATAATACACTTTATTTAATCATAATAGAGACATAAATATTTCAACTCCACACAAGATCAAAGATTAGCTCCTCCTCCACCACCGTACAAAAAAATATAACACCACTGTAGTTTAAAAGTTTCTATATCTTTCATTGCTTTATAATACTTAAATTCCACAACAATTCTTGAACTTAACAAATGCCTTAAATAAAGATGTGATCTCTTGACCAGAGAAAGAGAGAGAGCAACATTTGTGATTTTCAAGGCAAAAGGATTAAAAGAAAAAAAAGACAGAAAACGGGTGATGATACAGTACTGATGCAACAGTTTGACATATCAAATACATAGTGTTGTGGTTCTGGTTTTTGGGGTTGGCCATAAAAAGAGAGAGATTGCAGCTCTTTGTTGGGGTGGGGAGTGTACGGTGTCTGGAACATTTAAATTAAGCCGATTTTCCAATCGGAGAGTTGAGCATTGTGTCCTACCTCTGCTCTTTGTTTAAACGTCAGGGCTGGAGACTATTATACAGCAGCCATTCATACGAGAGAGAGAGAGCTCTCATCCCTCTCTATTTAAACAGCTGAAAGAGAAACCATTCATCTCTCTACAAGAGGAGGAGGAGGAGAAGCAAGGGGTATATTAAATATAAATAACATCTGCAAACGAGGCACGAGGCATTTGGGTCACAATGGAAAAGTATCTCTATCAGAGAAAGCAGGAGGGAGAGAGCGGAGCAACATTCAGTCATTGGTCTGGAAGGGTCCTGGACCACACAGAAAAGTTAAGAGACACCCCTTTTAACAAACAAACAAATAAATAAATGAAATAAAATAAATAAAAGCATATGTAAACTACTGGTCTCTAACATCCACCAGCTCCGTGATGTCGTCATGGAGGAGTGGAAGAGACAAAAAAAACAAAAATTAAACACAAAATGTAAAAAAAAGTTTAACAAAATAAAAAAATATTAATAATAATAATAATAGACAAACTGAAAATAAAAGGTTTAACTATATATACTCTAAAAAAAAAAAGATTGAACAAAAAATAAATGATACAACTAAAAATAAGTTTCACATAGTGTGCCACTACTGATCGCTGACACATTTGTAGTTCTTAAAGCCTCGTCCATGAGCCCTGTCAGAATTGAAATGCTGAATATCTGAGAAGGTTTGTACAGATGTAATTGAGGATGGTGTGTTTTCTTTCTTCTGTGTGGGGTTTGGACAAACCCAGTGCATGTAATTGCGCCATCTGTGCAATTTGGGCCAAAAAATTGGTCATGCTCTAAAGGAGGCTGTGATGATCGATGGCTTATTTTTTCATCCCCAAAACACACACCTCAGAGAGCGAGCACACATTTTCCGTGAACACACATGGCAAATGAATAGGTCGTTCTTTTGGCCCCCCCACCCTAAAATGACACAGCCTAATTTAGAAAGAGCAAACTTTCTAGACTAGGAGGCCTTTTCTTTCTTTTAACGCCCCCCTTCTAAGCCCTCCCTGTCATCTATCTTCCATCTGGCCACGCACAAAAGAAGAAATGGCAGATGAAACCATAGATCATGGCCAGGAAGCCAGACACAGCCTAAAGGGAGAGGATGGATGAAAAAAAGAAAGAGAATGAGAGAAAGAGAGAGATAGCATGCAGCCAAAACCATTTGCAGGTCGTCTCTTGGTACACGGTGACAGTACTTGTTGCTCCAGAGCCACATTAAGCCCAGCTGCAGAAGTAAAGCTCTGCTCATATAGGTTCCATTTCTTAAAGAATTCCTCCCCCACCAAACATAAATTATGTATCGCCATCAAACCCATGAAAGCCCTGTGGGGTATATGTCCATGGTTAATCTGAGTCAGGGTGATGGGGTCATCCCGAACACTGTTTCGATGATAAACAGCATCCGGGGATGCAACATCTGTGGCCGAATAACTGACGAAACACACCTGTAACACCATATCTGAACTGCTAGTTATTGTGTGAAGCCAGTATAGTCTAAATATTCACACCTGTGACTGCAAATCAATTGAAATGCAATAATATGCCAAGATCACCATTTGTTGGCAGGTCGTTATATTTGTTTCACTTCTCTTTAACTGTATTGTCTGCTTACTTTCTTATTTATTTTAGTTGTTTGTTGTTGCCATTCACCAGATAAAATTACGCTGCTCACGTAAATCTTGTGTACAATTATTGTATTAAACTATTGAAGGGGGAGGGTGTTCTTTATATAATATGCTGTACGAGTTGATGCTTAATGCAATAGCATAGCATGTTTCCATGAATAGACTAACATTGCACAGATATTGCATTGAGGGCATTGTGCATGTTTTCTTTTAGAAAATTAAAAAAACTGATTTTAAAAAATCTGACAAGTTACTATAAACATCCTACAGTTAGACTTAGAAAAATACTTATATAATTATATATTAAATTAGTGCTTCTGTAATCATATTGGTGTGGACAGATATTTTATAAAACAATGAGCCAAACTGAGGCTGTATGTAAAAGTGATTTTACCACAGTTACAGAGGTTTGCTGCTTTGAAACATGCTTAAGACAATCCTTACCATGGTAAAATCATGGTGACACAGAACCTTTTGTGGCTTTTTTCTCTCTCAAAAGAGGCAAGGTTTTTTTTTCTTTTTTTCAGGATTCTTTGATAAATAAAAAGTTGATAAACAGAATTTATTTAAAATTAACATATTTTTGTGACATTATTAATTTTATGTATTTACTTTTACTTTACTGCATCCTTGCTAAATAAAATATAAAAAAAATAAATCTTTATTTAAAAAAAGTGTTAAGCATAATATCATATCATATATCATATAAATCGAGAGAAAAACATCAAAACAGAAAAAAATGTTTCAAATTCAAAATTTTAGACTTATGATTAGAATCATAAATATAATACTTTTTTGATAAATAGAATTTATTTTAAATTAAAATCTTTTGTGACATTATTAATTGTATGTATTTACTTTAACTTTATATGGCATCCTTAGAGAATAAAATAATTAATTTATTTAAAAAAATATTTATTTAAATTATAATATAATATAATATATTATATTATAAAGGTTTTAGAGTCAAAATTTTAGATTTACAAATAGCATCATAAATAGAATCATTTTCACTGATCAGAATTAATGTTTGTGCTGCTATATTTTTCATTTGAAACATTATATTTTGATGTATAGATGACTTCCCTACTTTTTCCAGAGCCATTGCCTTGCAATTAGCTAGTATTTATAAAGCAGGACGTTTATTAGAGAAACTGGGACATGTAGGTTTAAATCTGTCCATTTGTTTCTCTCTCTGACGACTTCCTGTTCTCTCTTTCTACTGTTTTCTTTAATAAAGTGGCAAAAGACCATCAAAAGAACTGTTTTACATCAGAAATACTTTCCCAGGCACTGACTCGACAGTATAATCAACAGTCTGTCTAATTAGCACAGTGTGCTGACATTCAGACTCCGCCCCCTCTGTATGAACCGTACGTCACTGCCGCTAAAGAAC